ATCACAGGACACAAACAGGGTTGCAGGAGGGGAGGGGGATGGGGGAGTACTGTTCTTACCTGCATTTCACAGACAGAGAAATCGAGGTGAAGAGAGGTCACATAATTTACCCAGATTCTCAGACTCAGGGATTGAAATCAGTGTGTCTCCAAGTCTCTGCTTCCACCCTCTGCCTGTGACAGCCTTGGAGGGGTTCAGCGGCTGGGGGCAGGAGGAACCACGGGGTCTAATGTGTATTTGAGGCACTTACAAACCACAGTCTCGGGAATTCAAATGAAGTACCTGGCAAACAGGGCATTACAGTTCTAATTTTAGCTGAGACTCCTTAGTGTCTTCAAGAGCACACATCCACTCCAGCTCATGATGGGAACGAAAATTCTTGTGTCCCAGCCCCATTTCAGTGCACTTAATTCAATTACTAAATCACATGCTGCCTCTTTATTATGTGATTATTTCTTCAAAATCCATTGATTCATGGGTTCTCTCTTCCTCAATTCAATTATGGTTTCCTTGCTTTCTGAGTTGTCTAGGAGTATAATTAACATACAATTCTCCTTCCTATTTCAAGCCTGAACTGAAGCTGTATTATATGCAATTAGTCTGGTTCTTTCTTCCATCTCTTACTTTGTTGTCAGCAATTACATCTGATTTCCAGCCTGTCCACGACACTTGGGCCTTATGGTTAAAGAGGATCTTTGGTTAGCTGGGCCCGGGGAGGGCCGTGGGGATGACAACGATGGCCTGGCCCTGATGTGCTGATTTCATGTGTGGAACAGATGCTAACAGGAAATTAGTATCCAAAACGGGATAAGAATAGTACTTAGAGGCAACGGTAAATGACAGTTGGATTGTATTAGCTTTTCTAACAAGGCCCAGGAGTCCTCCCTCAGGCACAAGTCAAAGTTTTACTAACTTTATAAATTAGAAATCAGTTGAGGAAAAAACAGATTATGGGGCACCTGGTGGCTCAGTCGGTGAAGCGTCTGCCTTCAGCTCAGGTCATGATCCCAGGATCCTGGGATCGAGTCCCTCGTCAGGCTCCCTGCTCAGTGGAGAGCCTGCTTCTCCTTCTCCCTCTGCCTCTCCCCACTGCTTGTGCTCGCTCAAATAAATAAAATCTTAAAAAAGAAAAAACAGATTATGTATACATTAAGAAAAAAAAATTTTTTTTAAGTAAGCTCTACACCCAGCATGGGGCTTGAACTCACAGCCCGGAGATCAAGAGTCGCACGTTCTACTGACTGAGCCAGCCGGGTGCCCCAAGAAATTTCTGATTTAAAACCGATTTAACGTGAATATTTTATACCTGTTTCTCGCAGGGCATAAAGAGAAACTTGGCAATAGTGGATGTCCTCAGGCTGCATTAGGAACACGAGGTTTCTTGCATTTGGTGGCAGAATGGCTTCTGCTGCTGCAACATGTTTTCCTGATGTTTGTTTTTGTTTTTCAGATTCAGGATGATTGGAAGTACGTCGCCATGGTCATCGATCGCATTTTCCTGTGGGTTTTCATCCTGGTGTGCATTCTGGGGACGGCGGGATTGTTTCTGCAGCCTCTGCTGGCGAGGGACGAGCCGTGAGCACCGCACCGGGTTTGCTGCAGGCTGACCCACGTGGGCAGGGGGCGCATTTGTTTCTTCTGGTGGTAAAATACACTCACCCAGGACATGCACCGTCCTCATCACTGTTAGCCGCACCGTTCAGCGTAGGACATACACCCACACTGTTGTGCAGCCATCACCCCCATCTCCAGACCCTCTTCGTCCCGGGAAACCCGAACTCCCCAGCCCCTTCCCCCCGCATCCCCATTCCACTGTTTGTAGGATTCTAAGTACCCCACACGAGTGGAATCATGCAGTACTTGTCTTTTCGTGATTGGCTTCTTTGACCGAGCATGTTGTCTTCAAGGCTCGTCCGCGTTGTAGCAGGTGTCAGAATGTCCTTCCTGTTCATGGCTGCGTGATATTCTGGTGCCTGTGTGTACATTCTGCTTATCCATTCATCCGTCAGTGGACACCGGGATGGCTCCCACCTTTTGGCTGGTACAGATAATGCTGCTATGAACATGGGTGCACAAGAATCTGTTTGAGACCCTGCTTTCAATTCTTTGGGGTATATGCCCAGAGCTGGAACTGTCAGATCCTGTAGTAATTCTATTTTTAATTTTTTGAGGAAGCACCGTACTGCTTTCCACCATGGCTGCACCATCTTGTGCACCCACGAGGGCTCCAGCTGGCCTCGTCCTCATCAACACTTGCTTCCTGTGCTTTTGATAACGGCCATCCTAATGCACGGGAGGCGACGTCTCATGATGGTTTTGGTTCGCATTTATGTGATGTTGAGTCATGTTGAGCAGCTTCTCCCGAGCCTCTCGGCCATCTGTACGTCTTCTTCAGAGACATGTCTGCTCGAGTCCTTTTCCCCTTCTGAACTGGGTTCTTTGGGTGTTTGGGTTGTTATGTTTTAGGAGTTCTCTGTATATTGCAGATATTAACCTCCTGTCAGATATGTGATGTGCAGATATTTTCTCCCACTCTGCGGGTTGCCTTTTCACTCTGTTGATAGTGTCTTTCGATGCACAAAAGTTTTAAATTTTCATTAATTCCAGTTTGTCAGTTTTTTGTCACCTGTGCTCTTTTGTGTGATAGCCAAGAAATCCCTGCTAAATCCAGTGCTGTAAAGAATTTGTCCTGTTTTCTTCCAAGACTTTTATTGTTTTAAGTCTTAAATTTAGGCTCTTTCTCACACTTTCTGTCATCAAGCTACCAGCATTGTTTTTGGCATTTCAAGGCTTACTTATGTAACCAGTTGTCTTGATTTTATCAAAAGAGATTCATGCAAGAAAAATGTCGAGTATTTATTATAGATAAATGAACATTTGACCAGCCCTTTTTGGTAAGGAAACGTCAAAATACAGTTTTCCTGCAATGTTAGGTAGTATGCTCTACCACAGAATATGTAAAAATGGCCTAAATATGAAAACCGTTGCCCTTTTTGTGGTGGTTGAGGCATAACGAGACAGGGAAACTGGCTGCTCAGAAATGGGAACGTCTGTTCGGGTCAGTATCACAAGAGATTTCCTGAGGGCCTTCTTATCTAGCCCGCAACCTCCTCCGTGTTTTGTACTGTTTCAGCAGCACCCTCCCGCTGCCGGCTCTGACCACGCAAGCCTGGTTCTCCCGTTTCCCGAGAGTCTGAGGGCCGTACCTCCGCCGTGGAGCATCTTCGCGTGTATCCTGCAGCATCCTGAGTGACTGCTGGGAGAGGTTGTGCCTGGTCGCCCGGTCACTGCGGATGAACCTCTGCAACAGCATTTCTCAGCCCTGGCAGCAGTGATGTTTTTGGTTGGATAATTCTGCGCTGGAAGGACTGTCCTGTACGTTGTAGGATCTTTAGTGGCACCCCGGCCTCTGCCCACTAGATGCCAGTGACATACCCCCGGTCCCTTGCTGGTTAGGACAACCAAAAATGTCTCCAAAAATTAAGTGTTCCCTCGAGCGCAAAACTGCCCCTGATTGAGAACCACTGCTTTAGACAGATTATTAAGAAGCAGCTCTCCTGTACCGCAAGTCTGAGTCTGACTAGCCACTGACTAGGAGACGAGGATTCCCACACACCATTTTGATCTTCTCGCTAGTCATTTTGATGTTTTGGCTACACAGAAATAAAACTGACAAAATTGCAGCTGCGGTGACTCATGTTTCAGTAAGTCAAAGGAAGATTTCTATAAAATTTATTTACTTATAGAAATTTTAAGTAACAGTAATGCAGACAGATGAGGAATCAGGGAGATTACGTGCAAAGCTATCTTAACAGGCAGTTTAAACTCAGCAAACCCAACGTTCACCTGTTAAATGACACTGAACATGTGCCTACAGTAAGACAGAGATGAGACGGATCCCCTCTATCTGCCAGAGAGCACTGACTTGCCCTTAGATGGTTACTTACTATAAATAAGGCATTTGTTCTCGCAAGAGCTAGGAGTTGCTCATCAAACCCGGGCTTCTGTTGGTGTGCTCTCCTGGGTAGCAGCTGAACAGGGGCACGAGGGTAAACTAACTCGTTTACCCTCGACAGTCCATCCGGTCCTGAGTGAGCAGTGAAAGGCTAACACTGCATGACATCTACAAGCCCTCACAACTCTAAAGTCTCTAGCACTGTAACTGTTGGGACGAAAGAGAGAAACCAAAACATTACAGATATGTAATGATGTGCTTCTACCTAATTAGAAACCGCCTTTAATCTCGGAAGATGGTTTCTTCACAGTAGGATTTGGTATCCGTGGAGGTTTTAAGTTTTAAAACTGGGATTCACTTCATTGTAGAGGACTATTCTGAGATGAACAATACAGAAAGGCTACAATTTATATAGAAGATGGTTATTGTGGAAAATATGGACAAGGGGGTTGAAATTATTGTTAATTATTTAGATACTCGTGCATGTGCACAGGAGTTGTCTATTGTATGATTTTACAATGGACGGTAAGCTACAAAGATAGTTAATACAATAATTGTTCAGTTAAAGCATCTAAGGAATAAAGTAAGCCTTCAAGGAATTCCCACTTTTCACTTGTTAAAATGTTGGTTATAGAAAAATCAGCATCACATTAAATGGTTATTGTACCAAGTAGCTGGCTTATTTAATACAGCAGTAGGACACCGTGCCAAAGATCAGCTGTCCCCCACCCACCCCCGCCCCGCGCAGATACAGGACAGAGAGAGATTTAAAATGTGTACCTTTACCAAATGCAGAAAAAGTCCTGAAATCAGTCTTCAAATATGACGGGAATTTTCCAACACAATCAAAAGATGAACTTCATGTTGATTACAAACTGGTGTTATTTGCCAGGATACAAACATTAGGTTTGCACTAGCACAGTTCAGGTACTATTTCGCTGCTATTTCTAGATCAAATGTTGAGTCAGTTAAGTGCTTCACTCATGCAGGTAAAATGTTCGAATGGGCAATCTATTAAGATAAACCAATGTTAGCAACCGTCAGTCTGTTAAATTTCAAGCACAATTTACATTGTCTAAGTTTATAGGTACCAGAGCTACATGTGCCTTTGGTAACTAAATTCCTACTATGTCCCCTTGGCGCGGGTATCACTTATTTGCATCTCCAATGTGAACTGGGACTATGATATTTGCCCACTTGTAAATAACAGGAATGAAAAGCCCAAGAGATCCAACAATTGAAACCAGAAGAAAAGTCCACAGAAACATCCGATCCAGCACCTGGGCTATGAATTTCCAGTCTTCAACAACCTGTTGCAAAAAAAAGAAAGAAAAAACACACACACATTAAACACATAATTTAAAATTGTGTAATTACTGTAAGATACTACACACTGAGTTAGGGGCCAGATCAGTTTGTGCCTCCCGCCGCTGCCTCATAACAGCGAGTGACCCGGTGCTCAGAGCTCTGGGACACACACAGCCTCCACAAGCTTTCAGAGACGCTACGCACTCTTAATTTACACGTTGATTTGTAATATATTACAAGTGGCCTATTTTGATAGATTTTTAATAGGATATACTACTTGGATATTTTTTAATAAACTAAAAAGAACTCTTTCTTATCATATAGTTATTTCTGTTACTTATTCTTGCCCAGTAGTGTTTACTTATTTTAATTTTTAAAGAGAGCCCAGCCTAAGGTTAATTAATTTCAAACCAAATTAAAAGTTGGTTCAGAATAATACTTATTGGAGAGCCCTTAATCTTCTTCCCCTCCCCACAACCTGCATTATTTGGTTTTGGATTCCCTAGGGGCCATTTTAATCTAAGTTCATGAATTCAGATCTGCTGGCGTGGACCTCATTTCATCCCGTTTTGCAGCCTAAGCAGGGAGCGACCTCAGCAGCTCTGAGCGACCTCAAAGGAAGGGCAGGTGGAGACCAGCCCCTGAGCACCAGAGGCTGCCCCTGCCTTTGTGAGGCACGAGGTCCCCTACAGGAGCTCTGCTCCCACTGTGGGATAATGTGGACTTTAGGTGGCTGTAAACACTCTACTGATGGTCTAAGTCCCCCTGAAAATAAAGTCCATTTACTGGTTCCAGGGGGGGATGAGCGCTGGCCCTTTTGCACAATACTTCGCAGACATTTATTAAATTTCATCTCAATCCAAGTCATTATTTAGTATCTATATGTTTTAAGACTCCATCGATAGCTTCAGACCTCATAAACTAATCATACTAATGATGAAATAGAAACTTTACAAATCCACAAGCATTAGAAGTTTTTCAGAAATATATGTCATATGTTCCTTCTGGGGGGAGGGCTGTAATTTTACCAGATTCGCTTTGATGCTTCCCACACCTGCTAGAAATGTTTCCATTTAAAAAAGCTTTAGAAATGAGAATTCATATAATTTTAATGGGACTATTCAAAGTAAATTCAATTAGGAAAATGCTATATTCATAGCTCTAAAAATATTACACAAGAGAAAGAATAGTGACACTGAAATTTGACATTTTAAAAGAAAATTCAATCTAATATCACATTAGTAGAATGTATTTATGTTCAATTATTTTAAATATTAACCTTAAATAAGAAGCCAATGAGAGTTATTTTTCTCTAATAAAGTTTTACATGAATTTTTATTTTTAAGCAAATTAAGCATATTATTAAGCACTATTACTAAACTTCACATGAACACTTGGACATATCATTTATGACACCAGAGAACACCTTACTGCTTTTAATTTCACTGATATTCTCTTGTAAATGAACAACAAAAAGACATATTCTAGAAGAGAGATCTTGGCTATACTTATAAAGCCTACATTAGACTAATTTGTTAAAAAATAAAAGAACTTCTGATAAATGATCATGCCAAGTTGTGCCTACAGATCACCACAGAATTCAGACACAAAGTTATGGAAGATAAAACAATCACAGCAGGATTATCACTCTTGAGAATGACAGAAGTTGCCGGTGAAGTGAGGTGAGCAGAGATGCCCTGATGCAGATGTTCTAACTGAAACCAGCTTTGGTTAAAGATCTTCTACGGAGCAGCACATCAACATTTCTGGCCCTCGACCTCTGCATCATTTTGAGGGTCCTACTGTTTACTCTACCAGACCTAGAAGCAGATGTGCATCTGTAAACAACATGTCACAGACCTCACGGACATCGTTCTCCTTCGTGACGTGTCTGGTGATGTAGCGGATAGAATCAAGCGCAGCTTCCAGTGGGTTTCGAGAAGGCTCTGGTCTCCCAGCGCTCTCAGTCCCCTCTTTCTGAGCGAAGTACCTGTCTACATGACTTCTCATGCAGAGCAGTTTGGGAAGCTTGTGGAGAAATATCTTGCGGACCCAAGGCGCCATGGCATCATGTGTTGAGGAAGAACGGTGGTGGATGTTGATGGCGAAGACAGTGACCATGATGGACAGCGTCACAAAAATCATGGTGAACACCAGGTACTCTCCAATCAGAGGGATGACTTTGGAAGACGAGGGGATGATCTCCTCAATAACCAGCAGGAAGACAGTCAAAGAGACCAGTACTGACGTGCAGAGACAGATCTTCTCCCCTTCGTGGGAGGGGAGGTAGAAGACGAGCACGGTTAGAAACGAGAGGCCGATACAGGGAATGATAAGGAACAAGGTGTAGAAGAGAGGCAGGCGCTTGATCACAAAGGAGTAGGTAACGTGCGGGTACCAACAGAAGCTATCCGTTCTGTTCCCTTTGCTCCCTGTGGCACTGACAATTTCCCATTCTCCATTGTCAAAGAAGTCTCTCTTGTCTACGTCTTGGTCCTCTAAAATAATATCAACCTGGGATCCATCGTAAGTCCAAGAACCAAACTTCATGGAGCAGTTCTGGAGATCGAATGGGAAAAACGTAACGTCGATGGTACAGGAACTCTTGTAGTTTGCTGGCGGCGTCCAGGTCACCGTGCCATCATGCCTGACGACCGCTTTCGTGCTGGCCCCCTCGAAACGCCCGTCCGCGCTGAAATAGACACAGGCACGTGACAATGAGAGACGAGACAGCCCAAGCCCGCACTTCACGAGCCTGCTGTGAAAGAAAGCCCACGCCAAAGCATGAGACACTTTGTAGGTGATTATGCGTGAGATACAGGGACTCTGTTCTAAGGCCATCTTCCTTAAATACAGAACGCTCCTAGAACCGAACTCCTTCCACATCCTCTCTAAGACTAACGATCCAACTCTATTTCACAGCTTCCTGACATTTTAGAGGTTGAAAGAGTTCACCTTACTTGTGAAATATAACTAGACTATTTAAACAATCAGAGAGTAGCCAGAGCCTGAATCCATGTTCCTAGACTCCCCAAACAGTGCTCTTCCCCTCCATCATAAACACTGGACGCCTGCTACGTGTGCTTCTCAAGCTCTGCTGCTCCGTGAGCGCACACCCTGTATTAGTTGACCAACATAAGCTTTCTTGGAAATACTGGTTTCTTTCATCTTAAAACTCATGTGACTTTTTTGCTAGACTCATGCTTATGGAAGCATGTTTTCAGCAGCCTGGAGAAGTGTGACGCTCCAGGGAGCTGTGTCCTGCAAACTTACAGCTTGTTCCCTCTTCACCTACAGAGAAGCGTGCAGGGAAAAGGTGTTTAAACACTAATGTTTTTGCATAGCATTTGCTCTGTCTTCATGCCAAATGCCTTCTTGCAAATATTACAGAGTGCTTTAGGAGAAGCACAAATTCCGAGATTTGCCATGGGGCGGTCCTATAAAACCTGAAACTCGATCCCAGAATTATCCTTTCCCCAAGTGAAAAACCATCCTCAAAACACATCTAGGTAGGATGCCTATGAAGATGAGCTGACTCTACACTCCTCATCATGGGATAATTCCAATACATTATTTAAGCAAAATTAGAAGTGAAATTTATTTGAACATAAAGTAGGATTTCAACTATTTTTAAAAATATGCCCCCCAGGGGCACCTCAGTCGTTAAGTGTCTGCCTTTGGCTCAGGTCATGATCCCAGGGTCCTGGGATCGAGCCCCGTATCGGACTCCCTGCTTGGTAAGCCTGCTTCTCCCTCTCCCTCTGCTGCTCCGCCTGTTTGTGCTCTCTCTCTCTCTCTCTCGCTCCCTGTCTCTCTCTTTGTCAAATAAATAAATAAATAAAATCTTTAAAAAAATTAAAAATAAAAATAAATACCCACCAAATCTAGGAGGCAATCTGCCAAATATGTAGTCTAGTAAATCGGAGGGTAAGTTACTCCAAGTAACACCATCCCCCGTTCCCATCTCACTCACTGCCTTGTGCAAAGCCCACCCTGCCACAAGGAAGCTGTGTGATTGTGGACGCGGTTATAACATCGTCACCCATTCATCTGTCAACAATGCTACCTGAACAATAGTGGGAATCGAATAACGCACAGAAGCACGGACCACACGGCCAGACACAGAGTGAGTCCTTTGTGCATGTCAGCTACTGTGCACGTTGCCTCCAAGTGCAGGGACAATGGGATTGATTATAGGTGACCCCCCAACTTCCTTACACTTTCTGGACTTCCCAGATGTTCTACAAGTCTTAAAAATCAAAGAACACTTTTATGACCAGGAAACAATGCACCAAGAAAAGAGAGGATCCATAGAACCTATGTGTAGGTTCACAAAAAACACACGATCAAGTCATTTGACCTTAGAGCTAAACAATGTTCCAAAAGGAAGAAAAAAGTACTACTGCCCAATAAAAATGCAAGCATTTTCTTTTGAAAACACGAAGTGGCATTTAGAACATAACTTACTTATCAAACAAAACGATGTCTGGAGTCCAGAGAGAGTCTGAAGGGACGCGTATAACTTTGATTCCTCCATAGTCCTCAGGATGCCATCTTAATTTCACGTCTGTCCACTCCTTCAGAACAAAGACAATGGCCTCAATTGCCAATTGCAATGACATTGATAGTCAAGAATAGTAAAAGCTATGCTTTTTACCACATCCAGAAGTTCTAGATATAAGAGCATCTCTGCTTGCCATAGAGAAAACCCAGCTCCATGACTTTCTTAAGAGCATGAGAGCGCAGCCCTGTCCCCTAGCTCCAGCCCTGGTCCTCATGCGACACAGGTGAGGACTGTGTTCTGCTCAGCACCTCTTCCCCCACCAACGACCATGCCCGGGGGCTGCAGCCGTGGGCATGTACAGACCAGGTTTAGGCAGACGTTCTCTTTTCCAGCTGTATTGTCATTGGCTGGACTGGTCCATGCAGGGGAACCGGATTATTACACACTCCACGATGTAAGCACCTGTCCAACCTCCACGCGGTGACATTCTGGGATCATGTTAAGACTTGAACCCCCAAAAAAGGATGCAGCCTTTTTAGGAGTTGGGGTCAGGGAAGTGGTAGTAGGTATTAAAATTCAGCATAATAAAGAAAGAGCAACTGAGGACATAGGTCTGATGACCCAGAAGACAAAGAAGTCCTTCGTACGAAAGGGGCTCCACACGTAAGAACAATTACCCCCCGTTCCCATCTCACTCCAAGTAAACACCACAATCCTGGCATCGGCCCAGGCGTTTGCTAAACCCCTGGCCTCCCACTGCTTCTCTGACCCCCTCCACACACCCCTTCCTCCCCATGGTTCACTCACCCCTACCCACACTGGCCTGCTTGCTCCTCCTTTGTATGTGCTGGTCCCTCTTTGTCTGGATCACATCTCCCCAGATACTCACATGGCTTGTTTCTTCTTCTCCAAGCCTTGCTCAAACATTACCTTGTCATGATGCTTTCCCCACCCATCCTATTTCAAAGTACATCCCCGATACTCCCGTACCCTTGCCCCCGGTGAAGCTTGTCAGTGTTCGAGGCACAATACAGCTTCCTTGTTTCTTTCCCCTGACTAGAAAGAAGGTCCCTGATGGCCAGCACTTCTGCCCATTTTGTTCACTGCTGTTTCCCCAGTGCCCAGCAGCCGCTCCACGAGAACCCCATCAACCCCCACCCTCCCGCATCCTGCCCACCCACCGACACCCCCTGCTCGTGTTTCTCTGTGCTGCAAACCCCCCATTCACAGCACCTGGGATCACTTGGGTGACCTTTTGCATTTCACACACACCTGTTTCAACCAGACATTCGTTGTCATTAACTGATTTTTCTCATCCTATAAAACAAAAACGTAAATAAGGCTGATTATTTCAAGTACAGAAACAATAATTCTTGAAATAATAAGAATTTTCACAGTTTTTTACAAACACTCCTGTCTGTACAGTCCCTATATCCTGCTCATCGATGCCGTTCTCTAGAAGGGCAGGATCATTTTTCCAGCCTAATTTCACGTTATTCCCTTCAATATGCTCTGTATTTCAGATAAACTGCCGTGGAGTACACCGTTGGCATTTTAGATTTAACACTCACAGGCTCGACTACTCTATGTCCTCAAACCTGAGACACAGTCAAAGAAATAGGCACAGCATGATTTTACATACTTAGCACTTAAGGAAAAAGCTGACAATGAATTGTAAGTCACCATTAATGATAAAACACGTGGTGATTTTGAAAGTGCTGCGATGTGGGGGAGGGTAGTTATGTCTCCCTGAGCACAGATCTGAATCTGACGAGCTGCTATGAAGAAAAATTACTGAGGTCGCTGCCGTTGAGTGCAACCTCATAAGCTTTCACAGCCTGCTTTCCTAGAGAACTGGGGTCTTTGATACTTGCCACTCACATCTCCCTGATGTTATTTCTTTGCTGAGACCAGCTTTTCACTGAATTCTCAAGGCCCAATTAAAGTGACATTTCTTCCACTGCATTTTGCTGAAATATCATGGAGCCGACTGGACCTGTACAAGACCATCGTGACCACCAACCACAGTGTGCGGGATATAACGCTAAGCGCAGAGACCCACAGAAGTAGGGGGCCATCCCAATGCTGGGGAGAGAGGACGTGGTTTTAAATGGCTTAGGTGCCTGGAGGGGACTCTTTCCAACAGCAGGTGAGTGGCCCGGGAGAGAGGAGGACAGAGGAGGCTCCTCCCTTGGGACAAAGACAGTGGTGAAGTCCCTCCATGGGAAAAATCACTGGGAAATACAGCAAGGCCATCCCTCCTACACTCCGGTTCTAAATGGCAATTGTCCTTGATTAAAGCACTCGAGCCGGAAAGGACCTAGAGATTTTTTCTACTGAAATCGACTCATTCTGCAAATATAGAAACTAGCCCAGTGAGGCCACTTGCCTAAACACCACCAACTGGTGGAAGAACTGATGTTAGAATTCAAAGCTCCTGAGTTTAAACCCTACTCTGCCGGCTCCACTGTCTGCCCCAGAGTCATGCAGCATCCACAGTAAGTGCTGGTCTCTGCGCCAAATGCTCTAAACAGAAGCATTAACAATGAAGAAAGTTCTGGTAAACCTATTACCTACGACGCTATAAGGCAGTAGGTCCTCTTTGAGAATACAATGAAACTTATAGACATTTTCCCCAGAAAAACATGAACACACATGAAGTTTGCACTATGGGCTAGGACCCAATCAACACTTCGTATCTTCAACGCAGATAGACGAATAATACCTAAGTTCACAACTGGCCCCAAATGTGGGGGTACAGCCCAACTTAAGGTCACCCCTAAGGTGTCTCCCAAGCATCTCTCATGTGTTCAGCACAACTCAGGATGCAACAGACGCAAACCCCGAGCAAGGACAAATGCAGGACTGCACCAGGAGGCAAGAGCCGGTTAGCAGAGAAACAACTACGCGTAAGTGGAGCAGACAATAGTTTCTTTAACCTGACCGTAAAATTAGCAACCGACAAGCAAGCCAATGTGGAGATTTAAGAAAGAGTGAGCGAGCGAGAACACACGGGAAAGAAGGCAGGAATCTGAGGGAACTTCCAGGAGGAGCCCCAAACGTGACCGCAGACCGAGGGGGACAGAGCTTAGAGATGACAGGGACATCTGTTCTCCGTGCGCTCACCTCACCTCCCCTGCCTCCTGTCTTCCTTCCCTCTTGTTGCCACCACTGACCTTGTGTTCTGGGCTCTTCTCTCAGGAGATAACCCTTCACCAACTTCCCTGCTTGGCTCACCCTTCCTTCTACCACCTCCTACAGATGTTCCTCGAGGATGGACCTTCCTGCTTCCCTTGCTTGCTTGAAAACTCCTCGGTCCCACATTTTCAACACTCGGCCCTGGGCCAGGCTGTCCACGCTGACATCCTTAGCCTCCTCTCTCGTCACGGAGCCGGGCTTGATTTCCCAAGGCCCTTGGGAACATTTTCTTTTCCACGTACCACAGGCACCTGCTATCACAGTGGAACGCATCATCTCCTCTGCCCTACTCCATAGCGATGGATTTAACCTTTCAGACCCGTTCCTCTTCTCTTGTAACCGCTCGGGCTTCAGAACCTGGCACGTCCCACTCTACTCAGTGCTCAAGTCCTGCTACTCCTTCTACCTGGCCTCTACCTGGCCTATCAAGCTTCTCATCTCCTTCACTCAAGACCGTGTATTTATCCGTCCTACGGCTCTTCCCAAAGCACCGCCTTGACCCTCTCTGCTGCCATCAGATCTGTCATTCACTCAGCACTTACCGTGCACCAGACACTGTGCCAGGCTCTGGGACGGAGCTGAGGAATGAAGCTTAGCCAGCTTTGAGGATGCCACACCAGAGCGCGTGAGCGCCAGCCACTGTAACGGGCACCTCATCAAAGTGCAAAGGGCCACGCGAACGGAGGAGACTGTCTTAGGAAATCTGGAAAGATTCCACCACAGGTCAGACAAATAAATTTGGCCTTGAAGGATAAGTGATTTGTTCCAAGAGGCAAAGTTCTCCAACGGAAAAATGGCAGGGGGCAAAGTGCTGTGGTATGTAGGCTCCTCTGTGACCCATCAGGCCATCCCAAGAAGTGGCTTCCAACATTAACCCTTTGATCCAAACAGCCGAACAAAAACGCTCCATGTCACTCCTAAGCCTGTGATCATACTGCTCCTTGTTACTTTCCTCTCTTTAAAATGTTGACTTTTTTAAGTCATATTTTTAAACAAACATAATGAGAAACTTCCATAAAAAATGTTTACTATCTTTGAACTTATTAAAAATAGGCCTATCATAATTACCAAATAAATTATTTCTAAACTAGACGATATCATATAAGCAGTGCATTCCTACACCTATGGTGTGGTAATTATTTTTCCCTGCTGAGTTCCTTTAGGAAAATGACTGTCTCATCCATCTTTGTCATGCTCACTGCCTAACACAGGGCACCCACGATGCTCCAGGAAGCCTGTATGAAATGAAGTATGTAATGATATGCACACCTACCACATCCACTAATTGAGATATTGCAAGGCCAAACTTTATTTTTATTTTGTCATTCAGGTGTTCCACAGGACGAACCCATCTTTCGTAGTCTTGAAACAAATCCTTAAACAAACTATCTTCATGTTTTGCAACAAAGGATGGTTCAGCTAATCCTGTATAAAAATGTTTAAAAGTTAGTGTATTAGCTTGTCTCCCACCAAATACCTCTACTTTAAAAAATGTTCGGCTTTATCAAAGAACCAAACTATTATTTAGACTATTGATAGAGCTTTTACAGTAAAATATTAATACAAATGTTTATGATCAATAAGAGACACTGTGATTTGGATACACTTCTTAGTTAAATCAGATTACTCACATGGAAATACCCTGAGTTCCCTAGGAAACACTCAGTACTTAATACAGAGTATTTTAACAAGAGCTTTTAAGCTTTTAAATAAGTTACCAGAGCTAGAGGGGTTGCTTGTCATAAAATTCCAAACCTAGAAAACAGATACTTTGAAGTTCATTCATATCTACTGTAAATGTAAAATAAACAAGCTTTAACTTACATGATTTTAATATACGAACATATAAATACTGAATGAATTATTCAGATTTGTCATACCTTTGTTTGCTATACATTTGTATAAAATTACCTTAGGACCTAACACTTAAAAAAAAGAGAGAAACAAAAAGAAAAAAAGAGAGAGAGTGAAACAAAATTTTAAAAATTCCAGATGCCATAGCCATGGACTGGTTAGATTTATGGGTCACAGTTATGGTTTCTACTTCTACTGAGTTTAATTAAGCCTCTAAAGAAATGAGAGTTTTTGGTGTTGTATGGGTCAGAGTCTCTGTCAAGGACATGTGAAATGTGTGAAATTCAAGCATGTCATTTACGAGGACTCACAATTTTACAAAGAAAAAGCATTTACTTGAAGCAAAATACCACTGGCTTATTTATCATGAAATACGCATGCAGGGATGTATAGTAGCTAGTGATGGTCCTTCTGCAACCTAAATGAAATGGTCTGACAGAAAATGAGAGCTTTCATGTCTAAAAGCTGTCAATTTTAGAGCTTCATGTTAAAACAGCATTACTGATCTCTCCTCTCCTAATCCTATTTAAAAATTTTTAGCCTCTGAAATACCAAAAGTTTGAGGTTGTTTAAAAGATAAAAATAACAAATAAAATGTCCTTTAATAGCATCTAAGAAACTTTTGCCTTAGGGGAAAAGATACTAGCTTGAATTGCCACCTCAAATCTTGTTTGAAAGAAAGTAGATAGGGTATAAATAAGTTGATAGATGAATTCTAACATTCTACCTAATGATAATTCTTAAGATACTGCCTTGCAGGGCGCCTGGGTGGCTCAACTGGCTGGGCGTCTGCCTTCGGCTCAGGCCATGATCCTGCGGTCCTGGGATCCAGCCCAGAGTCGGGCTCCCTGCTCGGTGGGGAGTCTGCTTCTCCCTCTCCCTCTGTGGCTCCCCCTGCTTGAGCTCTCTCTCTCGCAAAAATAAATTTTAAAAATCTTTTTTTTTAAAGATACTGCCTTGTAAATATCTTCTCGCTACATCCAATATTAGAAATACCATTTCCTTGACACAATTTTATAGAAATGGCAGGTCCTAATGTCAGTGCTATTTTAGCATAAAACCTTAATCATGCATTCAGATTCTACGTAGAGAATTTTTAGCTGGTTCCAAATGTTTTAAGTTTGTGCAGCTCATAAACCTCAGAATGTTTAAAGGAGAAGATCCAGAGCATTCCCCTCACTACAAAATGAAGCTATCGGACCGGAAATGCCGCTGCGCAGAGCTGGTTCCGGGTGGAGTTTTGAAGGACACCCAGGGCCTCTCCACCTTTTGCTCTTTCCACCTGTGACAACTTTAGGAAAGTGCTTAATCAATGCCACACTCCCTGGGAGCTCTAGCCCATACTCATGTTTGCTCATTCCTTCAACAAACGGTTACTGGCCGTGTGCCCAGTACGGGGAGCACAGGGAGAAACAGACACAATCCGGCAGGAAGACTGACACAGTATATAGGATACTACAAAACTCTATGGAAGCTGAATCAAACCAGAATACTCTTTTTAAAAAGTTGTTCTGAATAGTTAATATTTGCTCATGTATTTCTACTCAAAATAAATAATTTAAATCAATTACTTTCAACCTCAGTTCCTTGGAATCCCAGGGCATTCATTTTTCATACTTTTTTCCATTCCATTTTGACAGAGATTGTGTACTATTTAACATACACTGTTCTGTGTTGTTTTCCAGTTGTGTCACAAAAGTCTGGGATCTCCAAAGAAACCTTTCTAAAAGGTAGAAATCATTTTTGGCACTTCTACAGCCTAAGTATAATGCTAATCACAATAGTTACCTTAATACATTTCAGTTTTCCTTCCCTTCCTGACTGAAAAAAATAGGCAACTAGGAGAAAACATTTGCAGATCATTTATCTGACAAGGGACATATATCTAGAATACATAAAGGACCATTACAAATCAATAATAAAAAGACCAAATAACCCAATTTTAAAATGGGTAAGGGATCTGAACAGACATTTCTCCAAAGAAGAACAACCAATAAGTGTCTGAAACAATATTCAGCACCTTTACCCATCGGAAAAATGCCAATTAAAATTACAGTGAGGGACGCCTGGCTGGCTCAGTCGGTGGAGCATGGGACTCTTGATCTCGGGGTCATGAGTTCAAGCCCCATGATGGATGTAGAGATTACTTACAAATACATACATACAACATACTTACATAAAATACGTTTTAAAAAAAGTACAATGGTTACCATTTTGCACCCACTAAGATGGCTATAACCAAAAGCAGAGGTAACAAGTATTGGAAAGGATGTGGAGAAACTGGGACCCTTGTACACTCCTGGAGGGAATGTAAAATGGTGTGGTTGCTTTGGAAAACATTTGGCAGTTCCTTAGAAAGTTAACTATAGGGTTATGATAGACCTGGCAATTCCATTCTCAGTAAACACCCAAGAGAAATGCAAACAGCTGTCCACAAAAAACTTGCACACAAATGTTCACAGCAGCATTCTTCATAACAGCCAAAAAGTGGAAACAGCACAGCAATCCATCAAATGATAAATGAAGAGATGAAATGTGGAATGCCCAATGGAATATTAATTTGCCACTAAAATTAATGAATTAATGATGCATGCTAGAACAGGGATGAACCTTTTAAATACTATGCTACATAAAGAAGCCAGTCCCAAAGACTGTAAATTATATGATTCCACTTACATGAACTATCCAGGATAGGTAAATCTAGAGATACAGAAAACTAGATTGGTGATTGCCTAGGGAGAGGGCGGTGTGGGGAAGGAGGGAGATAATGTCCAAATACCATTTTTGGTAACAGTCACGCTAGACTGAACATACTAAAAATCACTGGATCATGTACTTTAAATAAGTGAGTTGTGTGGTATGTGAATGACATCTTGATAATGCTGTGACTAAGAGGAGAGCATCTTTATGACTGAGCTAAGATGGGGAGATCATGGACAACACAGCTCTGATCACAGCTGAGAAAATGTGACAAATAGCGTGGATATAACTTCAGAAAAATGTTATCTGAATAGTCACCCCACAAGTGTTCCTTTGCAAATAACAAAGATAAAACTAAGTGTGCAATGCCAGTACATTTATTTTTCTTATTTCTTTGTAATGTGTTATACCTTTCCTAGTAATAGTCTATTTTTTTTTAAATTAAGACTTCCTTCCTCTCAACAAATACTGGTTAATTCTACCAAACAGTCAAAGAAGAATACCAATCCTTCTCAAATTCTTCCAAAATATAGAGGAGGAAGAAACACTTTCGAACTCATTCTATGGGGCCAGCATTCCCCTGAAACCAAAACCAGACAAGGATGCCACGGAAAAGAGAATTACAGACCAATATCCCTGATAAACACAGATATACCTTATGGTATAATCCTCAACTACATATTAGCAAACCAAATCACCAACACACTAAAAGGATCACTCAACACGATCAAGTGGGATTTATTCCATGAATGCAAGGATAGTTTAAAATCCACAAACCAGTCAATGGGACACACCACATTAACAAAATGAAGGATAAAAATCATATGATCATCTCAATAGAAAAGCACTTGACAAACTTCAATAACCATTCATGATAAGGACTTACAACAAAGTGGACACTGAGGAAATCTACTTCCACATCATAAAGGGCATATATGACAAGCCCACAGCTAACACCATACTCAACAGTGGAAAGCTAAAAGCTTTCCCTAAGATCAGGAACAAGACAAGGATGCCCACTCTCACCACTTTTATTCAACATAGTACTGGAAGTCCTAGCCAGAGCAATGAAGCAAGAACAAGAAATAAAAGGTATCTTGGGGCACCTGGATGGGCTCAGTCAGTTAAGTGTCTGACTCTTGGTTTCAGCTCAAGTCATAATCTCGGAGTCCTGGGATCAAGCCCCATGTGGGGCTCTGTGCTCAGCGGGGAGTCTGCTTGAGATTCTCTCTCCCTCTGCCCCTCCCCCTGGCTCATGCTCACTGTCCACTGTCTCTCTAATAAACAAATCTTAAAAAAAAAAAAAGAAATAAAAGGTATCTAAATCAGAAAGGAAGAAGTAAAAATGTCACTACTTACAGATGACCTGATGTTTATATAGAAAACCCTAGACTCCATCAAAAAATGGTTAGAATAAAAAACTTCAATAAAGTTGCAGAATATAAAATCAATATACAAAAATCTGTTGCATTTCAATACACTAATAATGAACTATCAGAAAGAGAAATTAAGTAAATAATCCCATTTACAATTGCATTACATTATAAAGTTATAAATTTAACCAAGGAACTGAAAGACCTGCACACTGAAAACTATAAGATATTATTGGAAGAAGTTGAAGATGATACAAATAAATGGGAAGACATTCCATGCCCATGGATTGTAAGAATCAGTATTGTTAAAATATCCAAATTACCCAAAGCAACCTACAGATTCAGTGCAATCCCTATCAAAATTCCAATGGCATTTTTCACAGAAATAGAATAAGCAATCCTAAAATTTGTATGAAACCACAAAATACTCTGAATAGACAAATCAATCTTGAGAAAGAACCAAAAA